TAACCTTTTTATTAAATCAGAACCTTAAATAAACCCACTTATCGTGCTTGACAATATCAGCCACTACCTGTGGCGATGTAACTTAAAAAAACAGTCAAATTCAAATTAGTAGTCAAGGAATACACAATTGATTTTAAATCCTAAGTAGGCTTGGAATTTATCACTGGATTAACAACCAGGTATCGGCAGCAATAACGCAAGCTGAAGAATTGCAATCTTATCTGTGCTAGTGAAATCTAGTAACATGGCTTCGATAGGCAGAAACACGCTGTATCTTATAATCCAGAACTCTGGACTTAAACAATCTCTAAATTGATAATTAATATTCCCAAATTACCTGTTGTTATACAATTAAAAAAATCTACCTCTGACTGATCGCCGACGATAGCAGAGTGGATAAAGACGCAAAACAGTTAGCCCCTGTATTCTATCTCCGGAGGATTAACAGGTTGAGTGATTGAATTCATCCAAAACCTTTTAATCCTTGTTTTTTTAGTTTGTTTTCCTTATGTTTCGGTTTCCCTTATGTGTGACGACAGAAGTAGGGAGCCAGTTTCTCTTATAAAATCATTCATGAAACGATCCTTTCCTCCTCAAAGATAGTCTCAATGTCCTTTGCCATAATCAAATCACCTAATACTCTTCGGCCCACTAGCGGCCAAGCGGTAAAGTCGCTGAACACTGGTAGTCCGGTCCCAGGTTCGAATCCCGCAAACGGACTGGCTGCATTGGCGTTTTCGTGGTTTTCCCCATGGGTAACGTGCATACGAGCCAGTTTCTTTTATCGAGTCCTCCACGAAAGCATCTCTCCTCTTCGGCAGACAGCCTTCGATGCTTTGCTGTAATCACATAAAACCAAATCAACCCCCCAATTTGAGAAAGGGGTTTTTAGAAATTTTGGTCAGAGAAAAATTGACCTATCTTGTTTTCCGCTCTGATATTTCTTTTCCCATTTGTTTTCTCTTCTCTTTTTTATACAATATCACACTTGCTTTTATTGCTTTCACATATTCTCATTAGTAACGTATTATTACTGGTTTCCTAATATGCTTTTTATACCCAAAAAAGGGTCCCAGAATGTATATTATCTAAGTAGTAAGGTGTACGACCCAAGGAACTAGAACTGATTTAATAACACATTCCGCATGCATTTCAACGTGCATGGAGTTAATCTTTGAGACAAGCGTATGACTACTGGCAGCTTTTGTACGTTCGTGGAATTTTCGAACTGCACGCTACTCGAATCCGGCAGCGACAGCGAAACTTCCAGGACACGACGAGATACTGTCTTATGAATTTTTCGGCATTTGGTAGCGGTTGTAAACGTCCTCCACGGCATTAGCCGCGCCTGTAAAGGGTTCTAAAATGTAATAGTTGAGATTGCAATTGCTTGGAAACTGCTAGTACGCTTTTAGAGCTAGGAAAGTAAATGATCCTTATTACTATCATCCTATAAAATAGTATGTGATGCTGCATTGTGCCTGAACTGCATTTATTCATATCTCTCTCGTCTTTTGCAAATTAAAATATCAGAATATTACTTTCATAGGAACTGAAAAAGTACACTGTAGTATACAATATATCTGACATTATCTAGTAATACAATACAAAATGCATTGTAGTATATAGAATACTTTATTTTCACGTTTGTCTCATTCGGCATAATTCATAAATTTAGTGTAACCGTATTTCCGTATGTGACATAATTTCCTGTTACATAGCGTTTGTTCTTAATCTTGCTTGACGTATTCGTGTTAATTACTGGAATGCATTCTGCGAAGAGTATTGCTGAATTGTATAAAACATACTTCACTTATTAAAAATCAGTTATATACTGTGGTAATGTGAAATGCGTACTTACTTTGCAAGCATTATTGCAATTAATCACCGCTTACCTCAAATGCAGTCTGCAAGCATCTGTGAAATGCATGTTATAAATGTAGTAAAATTTAAGGCATTTTTAAAGAGAACTTATTTGAATTGTTTCATGCACTCTTATTCGAACTATCTCATGAACATTTCTTTTATTTTCTAACATTTTTTATTTACGTAAAATATAAAATTTGAGTTATATTCAACCTATGTAAAGTTGTAATTTAAAATATCTGACATTTACTGACAACATTCTTTCCTTGGATTATCGGTAAATATCACAGACTGAAAAGATCGACGCTAGAGCCAGAGCAAACGGTGCAGTCGTATCGGAGAGTAAAATTTGTAGACTTTGTCGAAGAAACAGGCAGCAAAATTTAGGGGAAGCACTGAAGAATACAGAATTCAGGGACGGCAAAATTGTTAGAATTTAGGACCCGCAGAAATTGCATCGGGCGGCAAAATGTCTACCCTGCAGACTAAATAAGCTTATCCAAGGGAAAGTTTTTGAGGTTAATTTAGTATTGATAAGAAATTAATTTTAAATTTAGTTGTTTGTGTCATTGACAATTTATATTCAACAGCAAAATCAAATGAATACAGAAACTGAGCCGTAGAAGTTTTAGTAAAGGTAAACCTTCTCTTATCGGCGGCTTTCGTAAACTTGACCGAATATCTGAAATGATTTTTGTTTAAATTTCTTACTGTATAGTTTGGAAGCATGTGCAAAAAAGGCTTATGACAAAATGCAGCACAGAATTAAAAAAAAAAAAAATTAAAGTCAAATTGGTATGAGTCGTAAGAAAAGCAATGGATCAACGAGAGAGCTAAGAAAATTCTGTAGAAGTAATTTTAATTTTATTCATTAATATCCCCCTATTGTTCGATTCTGCTTCCATATGGATCTGTTTTTTTTTTTTTTTTTTTTTTTTTTTTAATACCAAATTTCTGAATTCTCATCCACTTTGATAGTGCGTGCGATTCTAAACAGGTATCTTAGGCTCCGCATATCTAATATCCTCTTTCTTACCTTCAAAATTATTTTTAATAGCGTTTAAAGCCCCTTACCTGTAGTAAAATATAGTGCATGTAGTATATGAAAGGTTTAAGTTGATTTTTGCCAGTCAAGACCAGTAAGGTTTCAGTTTAGTTCAGTTTTAGTTAGGTTAGAAAAGATTTTAAAGTATTTTTCTGACTAAAAACTCAGTTCAATATCATTTCAGAATGTTTCATACGATCACTGAAGTTCCGTGATGGCAAAATTTGTTTTACTTTCTAGTTTTCTATAATATCATTTAACAATTTTCGAATGCCGCTGAGTTTTTTTAAAAGCTGAGCTCTTTTTTCCTGCATTACAGATATTTTGCCAGAACTCATGCTTTCGAGAACTTAGTCTTAAGTATAAAACATGCTTTTTATCATAATGCGTGATGGTGATGCTGCCAGAATTAAATCCTCGATTATGCTGAAAGGAAAAGATTTTATCTCATTAAGAAAGTATATATATTTTTACGTAGACTAAAGAGAATGAAACTTTTAAAGTGAAATTATTGAAAACTATTTTTTAAGCATTTGATTCGGTAAATTCTAAAAGTAAAGATGAGTTCAAAATACAGTTCTTTAATAAGCAGGAAGCAACTCTGTTTTCCGTTTATAGCAAAAAGAATACTCCAAAGAATTAAATGTTTGAAGAAACTAACGAAAAGGAAGCCGGCACAACAAAAATAAGTTTATAGGACTAGAAATTATAGTACTACAAATTTACTCACGTTATGGCGATTCCCATTATTTATTATTAACTTCAACATTTAATATAACATAAGTGTATATGTAAATCAAAGTCGCATGTATATTTCACAAAATTCATTTTTATAAATTCTTTGTTCGGCTGCTCTAACAATGAATATTATAGGTAAAAATAGCTTAAACGAAACATATAGCGTTAGATACATATTTTATTAATCATGAGACATTTTCTTTCTCGATAATAATGCTGAAAATGTTTATAAAAATTATAAACTTGACATAAATCAAATGAATAAAGTAGATATATTATTAGCCAATCAAAAGATACTATTAAAAACAATAAAAATATAAATTGTTAAACTAATATATATTGCTTTTAAGTAGTTTAATTTACGTATAGTTTTAATTTGAAAGCTAAATGAGATACATTCCGATGACATCAGAGATCATGTGACTTATGCGTTGCTAATGTAAACAAACATGCAGATGATCACATGACTTATGTATAGCTAACGTAAACAGCAAGGTTATTCTTCCTCTTCTTCTCTTGCAGAATGTATCTCATTGGACATTACGTCTCGTCAAATAATTCGGTTTCGAAACCAGGTGACTGGGCTGGTCCCATGGTTCTTTTTGAGGGTTTTCTTATTATAATGGTAATAAGCTTCATTCTATTGGAAAGTTCTCCACGAAATCATCTTGGACAGTTAACTTTCGCGTTATTTGTTGTACTTTATCAAACATCAGTCTGTAAAAGACGTTAATACCAAGAAAAGCAACTTCCCAGGTCAGCTATGTGATAATTTAAGGCCTTAAAAGACATTTTCAGGATCTTGTTACGAAACATGCCGTGGGAGAGTAAAATAACGGAATGCGAAAAACAAAGACTAAGCTACAGATACTTCAAAACCATTATGAATTTTCGGTTCATCATTTGGCTTTTACATTTTTCTGTAAATTAAACAACTGATAATCGCTAATTGTAAGCTTTTCATAGAGTTTTAATTTTGAATTTAAAGCTACTGCCTCAATGTATTCGCTGCTTAGTGCTCATTGATTTGTAAATGTTTCCCGGTGTATAATCTCGCTCTTCACCTGATAAATTTTCAAAAACTACATTTTTAATGATAATTTTAAGTTTTAATTAATAAAGGTGGTAAGTTCTTAATTCTCAGAAGCTGATTTAAATTTTTGTTTCACTTGCATATCATTTTAAGTATTTCATAAATACTGGGAGAAAAGACTGTCATCTTAATAAAATGCCAAGAACTGATAAAAGTAGATTTTAAAGGTCTTAAATTCCAAAAATTCTTACTTTACCTATGCATAAAATGCCTCTGTTGAATTCTTAAGTCTTAATGAAGTCTTTTTTTTTCTTTTAGGTAAAAAACAGCTTGACTGAATTAATTCAAGTGGACCACGTGCCTACTACTTGACAACTGTTGAAGTCTTAATTTGCGTTCAAGTTCTCTACTGCATTGGCCACGCATGTTGGACCCCCTTTGTCCAGTGTTCATTATGAGAGTTTGTTTTCCTAAAAGTCAAGTTGCTGTGGCTCTTGGCCACGACTTCTGGTCTCCTTGGCAAATCCAGTTGGACACCTGAAATGGACCAATACTGAAATTGACGCCTTCTGTTAGAAGTGCATAAATTCTTCTGTTCAAGATTGACATGTGTGGTTTCAACAAGCAGCAAATTGTAATTATTTATTAGAGATGGTTTGGGGATAGACTTAATGTGCTTTGGCTTAGTGAATGAGACATTATGCACTCTTGACATTATAAGAAGTTGGAAGAACTTCAGATTTACTGCATCATAAGTTTAGGGAAAGGTTTCTAAACTGTGCACTGTTTTTTTTTCATAGCAAAAAAAATAATTAAAAACTATCTACTATATATAAGGGTATTACAGCCCGTTAAAGTTGCATTTTTTTATTTCATACAATATTGAACAGTGAATTCGTTACTTGAAAGTGTAAATCGTTACAATGACGGTGACATATTCACTTCACGTTTCAAAAGCTCGTCTTTGCGGCTTTGCTAAGCTCTTAACAAGATGGAGGGGAAGCATCTATAAGCTTCTCTACCGAGAAATGCTAATATTTATTGGTTTCTATTACTTCTTACTTGCCCTTTATAGGGTAGTTCTGACTGAGAATCAGCGTGTGTAAGTATAGATTTCTAGTTTCTTTTCAATTTTTTCCAAAGTACCTTAATACAAAAATGATATTCACAAATATTTACTAGAACGTAACATATTTTTTAAATAAACTTTTACAGGGTATTTGAAAAGCTTGCAATTTATTGCGAAGCTTTCACAGATCTTATTCCTTTGTCATTTGTTCTTGGGTTTTATGTTACCATTGTCGTTGGAAGATGGTGGCAACAGTATCTTGCTATTCCATGGCCAGATAAGTAAGTTAAAATTTTATACGGAATAGTTCTTGAACATGATTTGCCAACGAATAAACACTTAACTGCCACAAAATTTTTGACGCATTTTAACTGGCTTCTTTTATGCATTATTAGCTTAGTTTTGAAATTTAGATAGCTGTATTTATATAATTTCTGGTCAGTTCTTAAAAGACCTTTAAACTCACTGAAGTCGCACAATGTGACAATTGCTGTTATAAAGTGTTTTTTTTTTTTTTCTTTTCAGTGGCTAGGTAGATACGTTATTGAATACTAGTACTTCGACCTGGTATTTGACTGGTTCTTAACTTGGTAAATGGGCTAGCTTCAGGCGTGTTTTATTGATATGGGAGAAAAGCGTCCTTTCTCTTAAGAGAAAAGCGTCCTTTCTCTTAAGCCTATAACTCTCATGTGCTTTGCCATATTTAATTATTCAAACACACGGGGGATAGCGAATGGATATGCAGGGTGGTTATAGAAAACTTCCTTGATGTATGAACCCTATCTGATCAACCAAATGAAGTTTCAGATCGTATTATTTGAAGGTATACGCTCGAAGTTGTGATGATTTAAAACAATACGGCGCTCACGGTTACAGTGAAAAGATCTCGAAAATTTTCTAATGACAAAACCCACTTTTTTCTTGCGCAAAATGATCAGAGCACTGAAAAACCATAAATGGCGTTGGAACCATACATATATGACGAAAATTGCCAGCGTAAAATATTTGTAAAGAAGAGCATTATAAAGGACCAACTACAGCACGAGACAGGAGAGGGGGGGGAAACTTATTGGAATTTTAAGTTTTCAACATGCTCACCTTCACAAATAATAATGTGTTGCATGCGGAAGATTGCTGATAACAATGGTGAACGTAGCATCGCAGGAGTAATCTGCGTAATTTCACGTTTTATGTTATCTTTGAATTTTAACAAACCTCATAGATTCGATTACCTTAAATTTCAGGTAAAGACAAACCCAGAAAGTCGAAGGATCGCGGTGGCCACGAAACCGCAGTAATGCGGGAGACGTCTGTATCTACAAAATGCTGCTGTGGCACTTACCTAACACATGTGGCGACGTGTGGAGGAGCACCATCATCCATCCATCCGTCCATAGAATGCCATTAAAGGCATTTCCCTGCTGCGATTCTGGAATTACGTAATTCTCTAACACTATTGTTATACTGAGCGCTTGTGATGATGCACATTTTTTTTACCAATGGAAGTGAACTCTTTGAAGAAGTACGAACAAAGAACAAATGTGCTTGCCATGCCGCACGGCGCAGTCACTAAAGCTTCGTGCAAAGACGCCATATTGTGAGGATTTTCGTCAGCTAAGTGACGCAGTTCTTGGAGTTTTCGTTCCAAATTATAAGGAAATGCACCTCATCCGCCTATAATATCATTTGTAGTTTTTCAGTGTGCTGATCATTTTGGGCACAGAAAAAAAAAGTGGGTGTTGCCATTCAAAAAATTTCGAAATCTTTTAACGAACTTTTCTGGCAAGGTCTCCCGTGAAAAAGGATATCAGACGATTGGAAACTCAAGATCGCCAAAGATCACATGATCATTTTATTTTGAACATTATCAGAGCTATTGCATATATTACTGTAGCCTGTAAAGCATTTGATAGCGTGATTGACTACATATTGATTGAAACTGCTTGAAATGCAAAAGGATGTTTACTTTTTTCCTAGGCACATTTCACAAGTCTAATAAATGAAGTATTTTATTTCATTGCGACTGCTACTTCAGATATTTTTCATTAGCAGTTACAATGGCCCACCAGCGGCCGAGCGGTAAAGTCGTTGAACACTGGTAGTTCGGTCCGAGGTTCGAATCCCGCGAACGGACTGGCTGCATGGTTGTTTTCGTGGTTTTCCCTATGTGTAACGTGTATATGAGACAGTTTCTCTTAGAACGTCCTCCACGAAGGCATCCCTTCCCTTAGGTAGATAGCCCTAGTGTGCTTTGCCATAACTAAATACACCACACCACCCCTTAGACAGATAACCCTAATGTGCTTCGCCATAATTAAATAAATCAAAACCATTAGCAGTTACACACCAAATTCGACTATATCGAATGTAAAACTATTGGTGTTCTTTCGAACGTTGTTTTATTAGTGTTTCTTTGAAATTTTACCCACTTTTGTTTGTATTGGAACACTACGATATGATGCAATGAACATTAAAATCATTTTAATCAGCAGCAATTAAAGAAACACTTTAGTTGCAGATATTTTAAAATACAGCCCATTTAAAATACGAAGCTAACATTGGTATTCCAACTAATGCTACCAACGATGATTTCTTTATTTCAGTTTTAACCAGTATTTATAGCCAAAGCTTTAGTTGAAAATGCTAGTTATTAAGCTGAATGATCTTCAATTTTATCAGGATGCTTTGAAGAAAAAAATTCGTTCTTTTAAGATATTTTGATAACACCAAAATATGCTTTGTATTGTTGACATAACCCAATAAAGCTAAATTCTCATTAAATATGTATTCCACTTTTCATTTAGCGGCATCAAAAATATTCTTTGTGAATAGTTCAAAATATTTCATGCATAGCAAGTACAGTATAAGCCTTTATAGGATAATTTAAAAAAAATATTGACAGAAATTATTTTACTCTCATATAAGAATTTGTCTTTCAAATAAGAGTTTAATGGTCGAATACCGGAACATTTTTTTTTTTGTAAGTTTCTGTGCATAGAGTTTTGATAAGAGAGGCTAGAAGTACATTAATATTTTTAAAGCTTTACTGGTATCCACAAATTTTGTTTTGAAGTCTTTTCTTCAGATCCTAATATTTAGAATGTGTTATTGATAGCTTTGTATATAAATAGGTAAAAAAGTAAGATAGCCATTACTGCTTTTGTTGTGTGTAACTAAATTAACTAACTTAATTTCTAAGGCTGTAGGAATATTTAATTTCTACATAAAGATCCTAACAGATTTCGACCAACCAGTGATCGAGATTTTATTATTAGATTTACAAGGACAGGATGCCTTCTTGGAGAATTTTGTTCTTTCCACGAAGGCATCTCTCCCTTACTCAGATGGCCATAATAAAAATAATCCTAGCTAGTTTCACAGTTTAAATAATTGCATTCAACCTATGATAAGGGGGGGGGTAAGGTATCTTAGATGGATATATGGTACACTGAAGAATCTTTGCCACTTTCTTTACTCTTAATGTTGTTGCCAGTTATTTTTCCCAGAATGACAAATGATAAGCTTTAGTCTTATTTATCAAATCTTAATTTTCTTGCGTCTCTTTCAGAAGCTTCTAAAATATATTGAAAGTTATCAACAGAAACCGCTCATACTTGTCTTGAAGTAATCTGGATTAATATTTTAACTGATGCTCAGCGGCAGAGTTGGTGAGATAGTTGGGAAATGTAAAAACTGAAATATCAGATTGGTTGTACATTAACTAGATAGACAGGTTGACATTTACTTATTTGAATCGTTTCAATTCGCCACAAAATCGCCAATATAACCTGAATTCGTAGATGTTAAATATTGCGTATCAACAAGTGTTAGGTAGTACATTTTAAATACTTATATTTAACATCATTTTCTAAACAAAAATGTACTTGTTTCAGAGCTTGTATGCTTATTTCTACTTATGTGAATGGAGCTGATGAACGTGGGCGTATTGTTCGCAGAACTTTAGCAAGATACCTAAATCTAATGGCGGCTTTAACATTCCAAGCAATTAGTCCTGCAGTTAAGAAACGTTTCCCCACTATAGACCATTTAGTGGAAGCAGGTAAAATTTTGTCCTGATTTACGTCCATTTAAATTATTTCCGAATTTTATTGAGTTAAAAACCTGATCGCTAGTTAATATTTAATTTTAGGATTAATGACTAAGGAAGAACGGCAAGTGTACGATGCCGTGCTGATGACTCACGGAAAATGGTGGGTACCTGCCCAATGGTTTGGATCGGTGGCTGCAAGAGCTCGGCGGGAAGGCCGTATAAAAGATGACATTCTTTTCAAACATTTGCTTGATGTAAGTCAAATTCTCTCTCCATTCAGTTGTTTGACATTAAATAAAATGTGTACCTTATAAGTTAAAATGTTATTATTTGTATGCTTACTATACTCTATTTCAATATGCTTTTTTATCATTTTAACTACATAGTAATGAATTTTTTGGGGTTTTGACACTTAGCTATGATTATGATAACAGTGGTTTTTATAAAGTATGCAACTCCATTTCGATTCCAAAGTTTTACCTAGTAACAGTTTGCAAATATTTGCAAGCCGTTAGTAGGTAAGTTGTAGGAAAAAATTGGGGGTTTCAGAACTGTACTAGAGATTAGTATGTATAATCCAGTGCCTGTAGCCATTGAATATACCCATAATTTTGATTTAATAGAAGACGGAGTATAGTATTAAAAGATCTTGTGCATCTACTCCCTTGCCTGGGGTGGACTTTCTTTTCAACTATGCATTTTAAAATTAATGTTAAAAACTTTATTTATACATTGAAACCACAAATGGAGAAAGAAAGTTTGCAGTCATATTGCGGTGATTGTAAATTAATAGCAACGATAATAGATTTAAAAAATAATTCTTAATTTTCTTAACATGCAGTATAATTATATTAATTAACTAAAGTTTTAGTAACAAAATAGTAATTTCAAAATCTAACCTTCGACATATGTGAGATTTATTTAAAAATTTTAAGCACTTCCAGGAAGGACAGATGTTTCCCTCTCTTTCAAAGAGCATAAGTATATTAGCTCTTTGAAAAAGATAGTGAGAAATCTTACTACTTAAAACAATGCTATGAATATAGCATTTATTACAATCAAGTAACATAGGAAATCTTGCATTTAAAAGTAAATGCTGTTCATGCAGGAACGTTATTAAACAGCTTCATTTGTACAAAATTCGATGATTTTAATGTATTACTTGCAGTAAAAGTGTCCACGTTGTGTATTGGATTAATGTAACTTTTCTTTCGAAATTTAAATTATGAAATTAAGTGTGAATATTTCTATCATCTGCTGTTAAGAGATAGTGCATCCAGCCGGGTATAGTGGATAGTGACAGTGAACCCTTGAGTTGGCTCCCGACTCACGTATATATGAAATATCCTTGCAGAATTAATTACCAACCCAGTAAAAGTTAGCCATTAGGTGCCAGGTCGCAGCCTGAGCGTTCATTAAATTCAAAAAGAAATATTTACATGTGTAAACAAGGCACTTGAAGATTACAATCAGAGTATAAATATATACGTTTGGTTCAAAATTTTTTACAGGTAAGCATCTTAAGCTCATTCCTAGAGTACAGGGTTGTATTACATAGGTAAGATTTGTTTGCGCACTGCTGTTGCTCATACAGATGGTTTTTAAATACATGTGTTTTAGTATAGCGCTTGAATAGTAGCAAATATAAAGAAGTTATAGAATATATGGTACACAGTAAGTTACACTTGTACAAAAGATAAGCATTTTATACTGAATTGCCTTAACTTGGTTTTCTTTTTATATAGTGCCACGATACATTTGAATCAGTATAGATTTTACATTAATATTAATTTATACAGATGTAGTACACCAAAGTAGGATGCCACACGCGCGTTGATGAAAATACCTTACTATATTTACCAGGCACGTCTACTAGATATATACAAGTTTGGGTTACTGTATTGTAAAATTTATACAAAATAATGTTCAGCAGGTATAAACTAATCAGGTATAAGCGAATACAAGCAATTCAGTGATACATTAGAACTTAATACAAGTTTAGACTAAAGTGCACAGTTAATAAACAAGCAACTAAGCAATACTTGAGAAAATACACGAAATACCTGAAGCTGCAGAAATTATATTATCGTGTATTACTACTTGACAATCAAAAACCAGATTCAAATATTGGACAGAAAATACTGCTATTTCTACACAAGGGCACTAAGGCTTTTGTCGCAATACCGCCAGACTATCGATGATAGACCATGTTACACTAAAATATTCAATACACAGTACAAATGAGTTGGAAGAAGAAAATCTCAAAATACAGAAAAAAACTATAATGCACAATACAATAATCGAATACAAAATACATATGCAAAATGAATTCAAATATATATGTAGTAAAAATAATGCACAAACATACAAATAATAAAGTATAATACAAAGATGAAGCATGCTAATTTACATACTGAAAGACCCGAGTTCGAATCTCGTAGAAGGCATGGGTGTTTAAGCGTATACTGTCTGTGCAGGAAAGGGGTACTCAAAATACAGAGCAATTCGAAAGTCTTCTCGAGAGATTATTGGTAACAGAAGAGGGGTGGGAGACTTTTGAAATTGCCCTCTTCGGGAGTTCAAAATTGGTGTGGAAATGCACAGTTAGTGCGACGGGTCTATATCTATACGACCTGCACTTCTTACTAATAGATGTTATATTTGAAACAAAAACTTATCGAGGAACTCGGAATAAAACACAACTCTCACTGTTCCTAATACCTTAGAGAGTAAGAGCTACTGTGCTCAAAGCCTTTCCCTCTTTTGTAAGAGAAATTAATTTCTTTCTCTGGGCTGCTGATCGGTGGAGATAACAGGTAGAAGGGGGTGAGCTATCGGAATTTCAGAGTGCCACCACACTACCTGTGCAGGTCTGCTCCAATTCTGATGAACACTCTAGTGAATGGATCCGAGAGTCTTTCTTACTTGTCTTCTCCCAACTACTCGAGATGACTTTCGCGTGTCCAGTATAAGTGCCCCCGTATCACACAGACACTTGAGAAAACACAAACACCCACGTCTTCTTCGGGATTCGAAGCCCATCTCAATAACACGACAGCCAGCATCGATATCCACTGTCCAGATCAGGTTGGCTGCTTGCTGGTAAGAAGACTCACAGCAGCAGAGTAGATAAACTAGCTGTACATTAGGAATTTAGATGTGGGTTTGAATCCTGGCTATCGAACTGGCTGCATGGATGCTTTTCATGAATTTTCTCATGTTTTGTCATGATCGAATAAAAATACGTAAAATTCTTTGATAGAATTTTGAGCGTATGCCGATAGAACTTGAAAGTTATATCTTCAGTTGCCCGGTAAAGAATTAATTGAAATAGTGTCCCAATAGTTTAAAAAGCATTAAAGCTGATAAAAGGTCTTTTTTTTTTTTTTTTTTTTTTTTTTTTTTTTTTTTTTGATGAGCTGAGAAGGGATGTCTGATCTTGTAGAATAACACAAGCCATGAGTAAATAAGCCCAATCCTCTTGATTACCCATTAGACCACTTGTCCTTTTATAAAATCATTTAAAAAAATTGGCATTTAAAAATCACAATCTCAATAACAAGCTTGTATTCAGTGTACATATGTTAAAACACACAATCGATTTCGAAGGCAACTAAAGGTCCCTCCTCATCAGGAGAACAAAATTACTAGAAAAGGGAAAGAAGAAGAAAAATAAAGCATCGGCAAAGGAGTCTCAGAAACACGTGGTCGTTAATCAGCACTGCCACGTGGCCGTAACTGGATTTTGAATCAGAGTTACACTGGCCGCCTACATTTACTGAGGCAGGCTATCTGATCAAACATATAACACATAGACTAAAACGAAAAAAAAAAAAAAATCAGCGAAGTCAAAATATAGGGAGCGAGGGGCAACTGCACCTTCACGTGCCAAGTCTGAACCTTGAATAAAGGGAAAGCAACCAAAAACTAGTTGCAGATTACGAATAGCTTGGGTTGCTTTCCTTTTATTTTAATTTTTGACGATCTGTAATTCATTATTGCCCGACTTTTAAGAGTCAACGTCCAATCTCAGCAAGCTTTAATGAATTAGATCGCTGGTGAACTGTCAAAATTATAAACTGTTTTTGGGTGGAAAGGTTTCAGATTTGAGAAGGTTCCAGAAGGGTTCATCCGCATAGCTTGGAACATACAATTTGCCCGTTGTCTTCATGTTCCATTTTCCCACACTTTTCCAATCATTTACAGATAGTTGTACAGTTTGCAAAACTGCAAGCTCTTTCGCTAAATATGTTTTAGGATCAGCATTCACCAGTCCCTTTAAACAATAGTCATCATTAGGTCTCTAGAGTGATTCACTGTGGGGCTACTTCAAGCTTCAGAGCTTCTTAAAATTATCCTCGTTCATTCCGAAGGTAATCATAACGAAACATGTGAGTAGATATTTAGCTGCTGTTTGTCTGCTTTGAACTCATAAGCAGCAAGAAGTCGAAATTAAATTTTTTTAGCAGTTTGCCTTAGTTGTAAGTGCGATATAATGAGGTAAAAATTTCTTAGAAGGAAAGAGGACTTGTGACGAGTGGAAACCCAGAAAAACTTATAAAATGGTACAAAACTATGATGCAAGTTCCCTGAATTCTCTAAATTGTCCTGGTTTCATATTGAATTAGAAATGTTTGTATTTATTTCGTAATAATCCTTTAGTTGTAGACTTGCTTTTCTAAAAGCTTTTCTAGACTTTTTCTCTTTCTGTATCTTATATTTTCTGATAAACTGTATCTTATATTTGTGGCAGCTAATTATGCTTTATTTTTAGGAAATGCACACATTTCGAGGAAATTGTGGGCTTCTTTTCAGCTTTGATTGGATCAGCATACCTCTTGTTTATACGCAGGTAAAAAGTCGAATGTTTTTCTTTAAATTAAATACTTGTTTTGAAGGATATTAAAGCAAATGTAGCATAAATGATCAGATTGACCGTTAATTTCTTGTGCGTGAATCCTGTCCGATTCATGAACTACTAAAAGTGCTTATGAATGTTTCGAGTTAAAATCGGGCAAGCACATAGGTTAAATGTTTCGCTTCGGTTGCTATAATATCATATACTGATTAAGTTCAACATTGAATCAGATGACTAAGATTGCATAAGAGAAAAATTAGCGTTAAACATTTTCAAAATATCTGTTTAAATAAATAGTACAAAGAAAAAAATGTTTTTAGTTTATTCGTACTTCCTGCATTTAATCTAAAATGAAAAATGGAAGTTGTAAAGTGCTAAACATCGAGAGTGAAAACTGATTGTTTAGCGGAAATTTCGGAAACTAACGAAATTTAATTAAAAAGCAGAATATATTTAAGTGTTTCCCTCGATAATTCTTAATTGATCAGCAGTGCGAGATTGGGGTAATGAGCTGGAAATACTATAGAAAAGGCGGAATAAATTTACTAGGCTTGCATACAGTAAATCAAAGATTTTTTGGAAAATGGCAACGGACATCTTAGAGATAAACCAGGTGATACACGCCTAGCGAAATGAACAAAGGATATGCTGAGCAGATATCTGATAAGAATTTCAATACAAGAAAGAGTTGCGAAAACTACTGTAAAAGATTATAGAATATAAATATATATATATATACAATATATATATATACACAGGGAATATTGCTTTATTCTGTTTCATGACTCAAAGAAATGAGCAGTTAACATTTAGAGAGGAAACTAGCTGAAACAGTTTTACATCGATAAACTTAGATACCTTGGTTTTTGCATTTTGCATTTCACTAGTAATGCAGACAGTAAGTTGTACGAAATCTGTCCGTAGCTTTTAGGACAGCTTTCGTACAAGTGTGCACGTTTATGGTTAATTCCTTTGGCAAGCTACGGGTGATATATGAAGCAAACTGGATCATTTTAGCGAACTGTCTAGCATATTTAAAATGTTCAGAACTTGAAAGACCACTAACTTGAGTAATTATTGAATCATCCATTGCTGCTAAATGCCGTCTGTTACTTGTTTCTTGAAAACAAGAATGTGAGGATCGACAGGCAGTCGTAAACTTTGTGAGGTACGGGAAAAAGGCCCATACTGATAGACAGGTAAGATATTATATCGCTAGGAACAAATTCCTCCATGCAACAAATGATTTTCATCTTTTCATATATTCGAAAACGTTCTCTATGATCTAGGGTCTCATCGATCAGTGATATATTAAAAAAATTATGCTTGATTTTCATCACTCCTATCTAAGAAGATGATGAAAAAACTTGCCCCTTTTCGACTAGTGCCCCTTAAAAATAATGGAAAGTGGGTAGACGAGTAGTTTACAGTATATAGAATCCAACGAATGCAAAATAGCTTGCAAATAACTTTCTAAGTCGCTTTTCGGAGTAGAAGCTTTGTTGCCTTTTTGAATAAACCTGCTTACACATTAGAAGAAAATGCATTCCTCAATGGATATACAGAAATTACACATATTCAGAAAATTTCCATATAGAAATACAGAAATGTACGGAACAGATATACATTTAAAAATATAGCATTACATTTACCGAATACAGGATATACAGAAATTTTCTAACTGAATACAAAGAGCTCTATTTAGAGTTCAATACTTTGTACTCTTAACAGAGTACTTTGAAGAAGACTTCAAATTTAGATAAAAGTTTATAGACACTATCGTAAGTGTATCAAAATGTGTTACGGATCTGAAAAAAAAAAAAAAAAAAAAAAAAACAGTTTTTACTCAAATGATCCTGATTATAAACAGGATTTCTGTATCTCACAAATAACTGAAAGGTAGTAATTGGAAAATTTATCTTTCATTTATTTTGTATGTGAAGAAAACAAATATCCATGGCAGGCTTAAACTTGGTCGAAACGGAATGCTAATAGAATTTTTCTCATTTGCAGCATAGACTTACTTTGCAACGCTATCTGTCAGAAACTTTATTGACTATGAAATGGATAGGGTAATCTTCGCGTGCTCTTTATAATCGATATAATAATTATTAACACGTTAAGTGCCAAACAAGTTTTGTTTTCCATTCTGTTTCAGTAAGTATTTATCTGTTGGGTTACTTAGATTTCATCAAAAATATTTTGCATATTATCATGCTGCACTGAATTACAACTAAATACATCTGTGAAAACAAATGCATAAAATTGAATCTTCAGAAAAATTTAAAATAAAAAATGGTTCTATAAAGGTTTACGTTGTAATAAAGAAAGCTAAGAATAATCTTTTTTTCCCCAGGTAGTTACTTTAGCAATCTATGCCTATTTTCTTGCTACTGTGATGGGTCGTCAGTATTTGAACCCAGAAAAAGGATATCCTGGTCATGAAATAGATCTGTATGTTCCAGTGTTCACCTTGCTGCAATTTTTCTTTTATATGGGATGGTTAAAGGTAATTAAGTCTTGACTACTTTCCCAAACCTCTATATTTAAAAAGTGAAATATATTAGTCAGTAGGACATCGTGATATATATATATATTCACGAAATGTAACATTATTTTTGTCAGCTAAAAGGCAGAATTATTTTGAATAATTTTTGGAAATAAGGATGTCCATTAAAACTAATTGGAATAGGATGACTCTGCATATTAGTAGTTAATTACAATTAAATTTGAGTAATTTATCAACCTGCTTCAAAACCCGATATTAAATTATTTGTACAAATTAATTTTTTCACTCGTAATAGAATATTTATAGCTTTTTCTGTTTATATATGTACATGTGTGTGATAATTTAATACGTAGGAGGTATCTGGATACTTTAACAGCTTGCAGTCGTTATGGTCGGGGATAGATATGTCTACGTCGTTAAACAGATGAAGGCTTATACCACAAACTTCCAGATGTAACCATTTCAGAACATAATTTTGTTCCATTATAACTCGCATCAGATCATTTTGTAGACAAGAGATTTATCCAATCATATTTCAATACGATAATTTTTATGTACTCTGATTTTTAAAGTAAGACGTAGGCATCTTAGACTGAGAAGCGAAGCAGTGCGAAGATGTTAGCAAGGTAGAAGCTAGGGAAAAGAATGACGTAATTAACTTGCGTGCGGTATTTATACCGAAGTAGATGCAATTGTAGAGACAAGCTATGATTGGTTAATTTTAGTTACCTTTTTCAATGTAGTCAATTCAAGTAGTGTTGTATAACATGGAAAGATCTCGAATTTGAGAGAACAGATGAATTTAGGGAAAGGAGCAGCAAATTTAGAATTTTGAGGTCCCCAATTATTCTTAAAGCAGCTATCGTATTTTGTTATGTCTGTTGACTACGTAAATATACGCCATTGTATTACTAATACATGCTTCACATATTATCTTGTAGACGTTTTGGTTCTGAATCGAGCTGACATTGTATTAATAATACGTACTTCATATATTATCTAGTAGAAGTTTTAGTTCTGAATCGAGCTACATTTAAATGGTAAGGGCTCAAATAGAACTCGTGATATGAGCAAAAATCCTTTTGGCAAACCTTGGCCCTACCACGCCAATTTAGCGTAATTTTGTAAATTTCCAATGTTTTCAAAGCTGTAGTAGTGACGCTTTTCGAAACTTCCAGAAGCACTTTCCTTTCCTCTTAGGAAATCCCATAAATTAAGACGCTACGAGCATGTAGCAATCAGTAAGTTCAGAGTCATGGGACTATACTGAGCCTCTACTCGGTGATTACCGTTTGGTACTTTGCTCTGTACCTAATTTATGATCTACGTTCTTGGCATGTTAAGGAGAACCAAGGATTAATCATTTAGGAGTGCCTAGGTTTAAGGATCTTCTACTTAAACATCATAAAATAAAAGTAATGAGCAGAACTGAGAAAAATACTTGATAGTTGTTGTCAACATAACTTCATAAAGTGTAAGGAGGAAAAAACTTTTATGAATATTAAGTTTGAAAAAATTAGTGATCAGTGAGATTCGATCCCGAGTCTAAAGGGCTAGCCACTGAGCTGGAGCGAGTTTTTTGATTTTCATTTATTACTTCGCTTTTTGGTATTTTTATAATTTTTAATATAAACACAAAACAAAATATAAAAGCATATAAGAAAGAGTTTGACTAATAGGTTCCCACGAAACATGGTTGGTCATAGAATCTTTAGCACTGTTAAACGTAATGTAGTAATGGTAATTAAGGTAAAGTAATGGCAATTATGGTAAACGCGAGGAAATATCAATGGAAGAATTTAATCTGTGGGAACTGGTGTGAAAATGAGGTTGAATAGTATGTTGATAACTCTTGAACATCATTCTTGAAGATATAGGTTAGAGAAGCTGTTGAAATATTGCAAAATTGATATTAAGAAGAACTTGTCGTACCACTTTATTTATTGCTGTTTTATCTTGATACTTTTATATATTTCAATGAAATTTGCACTGTAACCTAGCGTAGTTAGTAAGATCATCTCTATGAACAGGTAGCATGCAACAGTATTCTTAACTAATACCAAATTCTAAAGAATGTGATTTTAAATTAAAAACAGCTTCATAATATGGCCTTTTTCCTTTATTTAAATAACCAAGCCCATTTTTTTTTTGTTTCACGATTTGACTAAAGCCACGAAAGTTATCATTGTCTCCTCATCTAGTTGACTTTTATTAATTTTCTGGCATGAAGGAGATATCAAAAATTACTTTCATCTCCGAAAACTTGAAATATTTTTCTCTTTTCTTAAACATTTAAGTTGAGCGAGTTTAGCAGATATTCTTATGGCATTTTATAACGTTCATATTTATATATGTGGCGTGAGTGTTCAAATTATTGTAAAATTTCATAATGTACTATTTAATCATGCTTCTTTTTACTTTTATATTTTCAATAACTTAACACTTTAAATACTTTGGAAGGGAATTTGAAAATTTTTCCATATTTACGTGGACATATTCTTGGACATATTCTTCAAGCTCTCTTTTGAGTGTTTCAATGTATTCTTAAAACAAATCTTATTAAAATATTTTGTATGAAGATTTCAGTTACTAACAGCATGCTAAATTGCATTTTAGTTACCAATATTAAATGATTTATTACAGGTAGCAGAACAACTAATAAATCCGTTTGGGGAGGATGATGATGATTTCGAGCTTAACTGGTGCTTGGACAGAAACTTACAGGTGATTTCTAGTTTGTGGTTACTTTTGCAAAAATAAATTTTTGGCCAGCTTGTATAATATAATGACTAATCGTATTCTTAGTCTAATAATATTTCTCATTTTGTAGTTTTCTTATAATGTTGTGGATGTTATGCATCAAAGTAATCCTCGACTTGGGAAGGATATGTTTTGGGATGAGGCTGAGCCACAGTTACCATACACAAGATCATCTTTCAACTTAAGATCGCAACCACATCTAGGATCTGCAATGAATTTAGAGTAAGCAGTAACATTCTTAAAGTGCAGTATAAAAAGAAGTGGTAATTTTTCATGCACTAAAATTCCCATGCACGTTTCCTTCTAAATTGAATATAATGACACAGGATATTTCTTAATATATCTCTTACAAGAACGCATTCTTAAATAATTTAATATTTAATCACCAACAAACACAGCATATATAAATGAAGCTGTGTACTGCTGAAAAACTAGTTTTTGAATTGGGATAAGAAGGCTAACCCGTTTCGATGCGGGTATATCGAGAAACCTGCTAAACCTTTGAACTTCACTCTAACAAAATGAATACAAAATCTTTCATTTGTCTCACCGACCGATATTATACACACTTGCAAATAATTTCAAGTTTATTTTGCTTTAAATCTACTTTCTACATTGTCTATAGCATTTTAAATTAAACTAGAATAAATTACTTCCATTTTTTCTGTTTTTTTTTCTTTTTTTGCATTATTGATTTATAAGTGAAAATAAATAGTCTATTAAAATTCTATATCTTATAATGCTAAAAATGTCAGTCTTAATAGAATGTTTCATTTAATATCGCAAGCTTAAGAATCTTAATTTTTTAAATGAGCTGCTCACAGGGAGAAAATGTCTCGGTAAATATATTTAACATTGTTTTGACGTTTTGCTACAAATTCATTGTTAGAGAAAATTATTTGACAGATGCATGATAGATACTATAGACATTTCGAAAATCTTGGATGAATTCATATCCAATACAAACTATGCACTTAATTTTTCTGATGTACCATGGTTAAGAGATCGCTAAATAATGGTAACTCAACTCGAGCTCGAATCTCGGTAAACAGGTTGGTTGTGATTTCTGCAAAGTGCCGAGTTTACCCAACTACGAGCCCGTTTACCTTAATCCTCCCTATAGACATCCCTTTATTTAGCCAGAAAGCTGTCATAAGCTTTGCTGTACTTGTTAGCGATGTACTCTTAGTAATCAACTGCCCCAGTTGTACCTTTAGCAATCGACTCAAAAATTTGAACCATGTATATTGAAACACCCAGTCTCCTGGATAATCCCGGTTTCATAAATTCTATTCTGTAAGCCTTTTTCTTATTTTATTAGAATGCTATTTTTAGATTCAAGTAAGAACAAAATATCTAAGTTGATAAACTATTTCAGTACAGTATAAGGCAAAATAAAAGTTGATTTTTTTAAAAGCACAGTACTTATTCTGTTTAGGCCTTTGCCTTTTCAAACAAAGGATGGTTATTTTCGAGAAAGCAAATGGCTAATTTCACAAAACTAACCATATACTTGGCGCATAATAACCAAGCAAGTTATGTGCCATAAAGCACCACCGCCCAAAACAAAGTAAATACTGGGGGGAAAATGAACCACGGTTAACATGGCTAATTGTTTTCATAAACTAAGATAAAAATAAAAAGTATTTTTTTAATCGAAAAAGTAAAAACCAGCCATATTGGCAAGTTTTTCAAATGATTCTTGAGCATATCATTCGAGCTGGCATCTTACAAGAGACACCTGCACAGTCTCCCTTTGTTTTTGATATGGGTAGACAGAATTTGTTTTCTATTTCAAGTCTCTTTGTCTTCACCTTGTTCGTCAAGATCGAAGCAAATGAGAACTGATAAAATACGTTGCATACTCAGTCTTCACAATTCAAACAAGTCACCGCTAAGCACCTTTTCATTTCAGGTGATACTAATGATTATACAGGTCTTTCATAAATAGAAGTCATCTTGTATTAGGATTCTCTAAAGTAGCCATGAAATAAATAAGTATTAACCGCACTAATATCTATTATTTTAAAGAATGTAGCCATTGAACATTCATAGGGTCTTCATCCATTATAACATTTAGAGCATTTTTCGTCCAAGAAGTCCACTTCCGTTTTAGTATTAAGAGTAAGGAATCATTTTAGATTTTTCTGAATCTTTGCCTGCAGAGCTTTCATAATATTTTGATTCTATATCACTTCCACTACTCCCTCTTCAAACCTCCTTAGTAACTATCTTTGAAGTCACGATCGCCATATTTCTTTGTATGACGAAAAATCAAACTCGCTCTTTCAACAAGACTATCATGATAGGGATAACTTACATTCTAGAGCTAGAGTCATTAGGTTTATAGACGTAGAAGACGTGTAAAATGTACAATGCCCTCGATGGGATTTTGAACTCCGAACTACCGATTACGCATCAGATTTGCCCCTTGTTACACTATGAAGGAACGTGGGAAAGAGAGAGAAAATATAACATTAGTATCGACCTTCAGTTCTGTGAGATCATGAGCGAACTTTTGAACAATCGCTGGGAAAAAAATACATGTGAACAGATGAACTTCATCTGAACAGCTGCATTTCATCTAGCTTAAAGGTATGTAAAGCACCATCTCCTTGAGATTACTGGAAGTAGAAGAATTTTAAATCTGAGAATCTATAACCGGTCTCAGAAACTGGCTGTCAGCAGTGGCGTATTCGCCAAAGAAATCGGCCCTGGCAGAAAAAAATATGTCGGCTCTAAGGCCCCATATGGAATGTCATACATATAAGTTATCATTGTCGTTATAAAAAATAATGTTATAAAATAAAAATGTACATTTGCAGAAAAGTAACACTTTATTCATATATATCTATATATAACAATAAATAACAGCAACTAAATAATTATATAAACAAAACAGCGGTTGAATCATAAATTAGCCATTTAAATAGTTTTTAATTCCAGGTGCCTGGGCAAATATTTCCTCCATTATATCTTCAGTTTTGTCTTTAGCCAAAATATCCTTCTCTATGTTCATCAATAGTGGTGACTCCAAATTAGCTTGCTTCATAGTACTCCTTAATCTACTTTTTACAATTTTTAATTTTGAAAAAGCTCTTTCTCATTCAACTTGCGTTATAGATAGGTGATACAGGGTGAGTACAAACTTATAAGCAAAAAAAGACATTGGTGTATACATTACTATATATATTATATTTCAAGAGTAATTTATACACAGACATGACGCAAATTTTTCAAAAATTGCATATAGCTTTGGATGAACGTTCATTAATAGATAGAGCATTCTCTTCTTCTGACAGTATCGGTTTCAAAATAATGATTTTCAATTGAATTTTTTAGTATTTTTCATTTAATTACAAGGTCCTGATATTCATCCTAAAGATTATCAGTTGTTATACTTGCATAGTGCCCTAACAATATAAATAAATAGTCAAAAGAGTTCAGCGACAATGGCTTCAGAAAGTTTTGGGGATCGAGAAGTGATATGTCTTACAGCTTCCCATGCCCTTTAAACTTACTTTCCATCGAGGAAATGGTGTTATCCGTTATAAAATTAAAAACAGTAACTTTAAATTGTTTGACAGGGAAATTGGAATTATAATCGGACGATTCTTCTACGTCCATTTGTTTCACTTTTTGGCATTATCTAGCAGGTAGTTCTTATATCACAACCCAGCCTTTCTAGTTTATGCAAACGATTTTGATGCGTCAAATATTAAATCGAAGTTTCTAGAAATGGCTTTTGAAGAGCTTGTAGACTCTCTAATCATATTATGTACTAGGTTGTAATCTAATACTTTAGTCGGCAAATATTTCGTTACTGGCTTAGTATATTGAAATATTTTCAAATATACGTGAGCAGACAAAATTATTCAAAAAATTGATACTTTATACAGAATATATTTTACCATTTGTCGTATCTGTGCATTTTGTATATCATTGGAATATATGCTTTTGAGTGAAAGTATTAATTCTACTTCCCTCTATAAGTTTCCTCACGCGCAGGACTGTCTCGCCCAGTCATTTGTGGCGATTCGATCTTTCAAGTTTCTTTGATCAGCCCGAAATCGCTCCAGCCCTATCCGCCACTGGCTGTCAATGATTAAATTGAATTGCTTTTTAGGAAACTATCTCAAAAAAAAGATTTGTTTGCTTAGCTAGTGTAAAATATGCACCTATTATGCATCTATTTCAAGCAGTTCAATCAGCTTCGTATTTGCAATAAGTTCCATTTATAATATTAAATATTCTGCTCAAGTCTAGTAGGTTTGCAGGTAGTCGTACCAGCTGGTTATGTTGTACGATAGTTTTGTAAGAATTATGCTACAACTTTCTATGAACTGTGATTTGTAGTTTTACCCAATACAGCTAATATTAACTGTTTCTAAATAAAAGAGATAAATGCTTTCGTATATCTTCAGAGTTCTATCCGTTACAACTGAAATACGTTATTTAACAGAAGTAATTAAATATTGAATCAACATACCCTATATTACTAATACATCTAAAATGCTGACATTTAAAGCAGTGAAGTTAAGTAAATCATGCTTGCGTAATTCATGCAATCTATATTCTGTAATTTTAAGACTACTGAGCGTGAATTACGCGAGATACTTTATCTTCAGTTATTGTAGCAAATATATTTTGTATAAAGCAACTTAATAGATAATGTAGAACAGTTCGTTTACTCTTGAAAAAATGACAAGAAGTCTGGAAATGATATTAATCTAATATTTCTGACTATTTAGAAATCGTCCAATAAATTTAGCTGTTAAATTACGCTAAATATATTAAGACATATACTAATGCCTATAAAAATTCCATAAAATTCTGCCATTACTGTTTGAAAATATTTTCTCGTTTGTATTTAAATTACAGTATTTTTGAATCGCATTTTTTAAGAATTAAAATAAATGTAATATATAAATTTCCTCTGTAATCCCTTTTAAATTTAATACATGAATTAATTATCGGTGAATTTCATTTGTAATCAGAATTTGTTAGAAACCTCATAAGATTTTCTCTGCATTTTCCCCTGAAACAATTAAAACATAAAAATAATTAAACACAATTAAAGAAAACTATTACAGTTTTCGCATTCATTTCTGTAAATATCGGTGTCGGTAATCATTCGTATGACATCGCGTAAGTTTTTAATTGTTCAAAATTGTAATCAAATATTGGTGCGGGTTTACAGCTCCCTGAATAAGACTAATCATTCCAGATGAGAAAGATAGTATTTATAACTTGTTCTAATTATTGAGACATAGAAAAATAAATAGCTGTAAATACTAACTTAACGAAAATGGGGGTATTAGGCAGCTCATCTTTAGCACACAAGCAGAGTTGCCAACTCTCCCGATTTTCGACTGCTCTCCCGCCAACCCGATTTACAATATATTTCTCCCGACTTTTTCTTATTCTTAATATTTCTCACGATTTTTATGGAACTTGGCTTAATACTTCGTTATATGAACAAAAAAAAGTGATTTTGGATGTCTGAAAGCAACTGAAATTTCTCTAGATTATATCTAAAATAAAACCTTTCGAATCAGATGAGAATTTCTGCTTTGTGAGTGACAGCATACGTATCCAGAAACATCGTTCTCCAGTTTTCCAATGGGGCATCGAGCTCCACTGAGTGTCATCTGGCATGTATTGGAAAATAAGGACAAAGCAAGCTCAAGCGTTGGTGTTATTTGGATGTTCTTCGTATTTTGTTCATTTGTTCTGAGTTGTGCGAGTACACGTGCTTTCAGGAAATAGTTTAATAAATTTTATCTCTTTTGTTATGTTCTGCGAGAAAGGTGAAATACTCGTACACGGTTTCAAAAATCGTACACAGTTGACTTTCCTTCCATTATTTCCTCAAGCAAATGTAATAAATTTGCAATATGTACCGTCTGTCATTGCGATTTTTCAATTTCGCCTGGTAGAAGGGCGGATGTTCTCAAACATGTGTGTACACAAAGACCACACAAGTTGTTTTGAAAAAAAAAAAAATTACATTTTTCTTTGGAAACAAAGGCCCAAAAAGTTATTAATTTATTTTTACTGGAGCACAACATGCCACCGAATGCATCGGATCATACTGCAGTTTATTTAGAAAAATGTTTCCTGATAGATAGTGAAATCACTAAGAAATACTCAAGTGCAAGGACCAAAACAGGTGCAATTGTTAAAGAAATGGGTTTGAAAAATAAATCTTCAGTTATTGATTGCGATAAAACAGCTCATGTTTAATTTCCATTCTCTCTACGGATGGAAGCAATAATACCAATTCAAAACTGTATCCAATTGTTGTTTCTTTTTTTAATCCAGAGTCTTAAGAAATTGAGTGCAGTTTACTTTCTGTCCTCCCTTTAGAAGGACATTCGACAGGCTTTAATATAGCACAGCTAATTATTAAAACTTTAAAAGAAAATGCAGTCCCTCTGGATAATTGCTTAGCACTTGGTGCCGATAATGCACCAGTAATGGTAGGCTTGAAGACTGGTGTTGCAGGCATCTTAAAAAAGCAAATTCAGATTTGCAGATTATGAGGTGCACCTGTCACCTTTTAAATTTAGCTGCTGAGAAAGGGGGGCAGCTTCTTTACCAATAATTGTGGATGAACACATTGTTGATATTTATTATCTTGAAAGGAGTTCTAAAAGAAAAGAAAAATTGAAACGGTTCTAACAGCTGCATAATACTGAAATGAGAAAAATTTTGAAACGTGTGTACACGCTGGCTGTCTTTAAAGAAATGCTTATCTAGAATCCTCGATCGATGGAACCCACTTCTTGCATTTTTTAAAGAAGTAAATGCTTCGAGAGTTAAGATAAAAGGCTCTATTGAAAGTTATAAAGTACTTAAAGTAAATGGAGATGTAGTTACTACTTCAATTGTTAAAAATAGGTTTGAGAAAAATAAAGTAATTTCTGCATCATTCAGCAATTCAACTGGCAGTTCTCAAAATAATACTGCAAAATATAAGTGTAAAGCTGATACAAATTTCTCTCAAAATAAAAAAAAAAATTGCTCAACACACGAAACATTTTCCGATTACTGTAAGTTTATCTTGTGAAGAAAGAATATTTGTTTTTTTAGGACCTTAACAAAGATTTTTGCTTTTTTTTTTACAATTCATTTTGCCATCATTTGATGTTCTTAACACAATTCTACAAAGCAGAATTCCATTAATTTATGTTTTACAATCAATGATTTATGATCTGTTTAAAGACATTTTATCAAAGTTTGTAAAACCAGTCTGTGTTTTGTCTTGTAATTCTATATATGATGTGATTTATGGTGAAATAGAAAATCGAAGAAATATGAAGATTTGTGTAATAGGAGCTGCAACTACAAAAGTAGTGGAAGAACTTTCAGAAGAAGACAAAAATAAGTTTTATCTTCATGTTAGAAGTTACTTCTGTCGAGTGAGTATGTGATTACATACTACATAAATTTCCAGTCAACGATGAAGTGATTTTGCATGCTAAAGTTTGTGATGTTTCTGCTCTAGCAAATGCATCTTTTTCTGATATAAGGTATGTTTTGAACAGATTTCCTGTGTTACTTCGTTTAGTCATGAAAGATGATGATATTGATGTTGCTACTGATATACTGCAGTCGCAATTTTGCAATTTACAATTAGAAAACTTGGATGAAGTTATAAAATCAGCTAGGATTGACACCCAGTGGAGTTTAATTGGAAAACTGAAAGGGGCTGATGGAATTTTAAAATATAGTGGACTGTCTAGAATTATGTTGGCCGTCTTGACAGTTCCCCATAGTAATGCGGAGTGCGAGAGGATTTTTCAGTGTTGTTGCGAAATGAGGACTAAATTTAGATCTAATATTAGTGATGACACATTAGAAAAACTTTTATTAGCAAAAGCAGGCCTACGTGGCAATTGCTATGAACAAAATTCTGAAGTTTCTTTCTTAACGAAAGCAAAATCTGCCACTATTCATAACATTTGTATGAAAACTGATTAAAGTGTCTTTTTTTTTATTTATTATTTTTATTTTTTTAAATAAAAATGTTTTTTTATATCTAAGGTATTTTTGTGTTGCTTGCATTTAATACTTAGTAACTATTTAAAGTTAATTCATTATTAAAAACTATTTTTATCATTTAAAAAGTCTTTTTAACATTGTGAAAAATCTCCTGATTTATTAAAAAAATCTCCTGATTTTCTAATGTCATAAGTTGGCAAGTATGACACAAGAAATAATACAGATTACCGAAATGACGAAATTCAACTAAAACTTTGAACAGTCATCTCTTTGAAGTTCTCAGAACTGATTAACACCTGACTCATTTCGGGCTGTATTTATGAGGTGTCGCACGGGCTGTTAGAATTGTCGGAAAAAATTGCTCCTAGAGCTTCGAAAATGCATCTATTCAAAACTTCAAGAAAAGACATCAGAGCCGGCCAGGAGCGTTTTCACTCGTATTTAGCGTTCTAGTTTAGCTATTTTAACAATTTAAACATTGTTAGATTCAAAATTAAATATCTACAAACTCTGCAAGAAATAAGCACTTGTATACAAACATATGATCACAGTTTAATAACACAAAAATAAACCCTAAAATTGTTAGCCTAGATATAAAAGTTAAACAAATAAACAATACACAAAAACAGTGCAATCGAATGGATTTAAATATTTACGGAAATGAACAACTATACAAAATAAACGATTTACAGTATAAACGATTTAAAAACCCACTTTCAATTTTTGGCAGCTAATTGAAAAGTACAGTTAATTTTGAATTATCTGACACTAAATTTGCTTGCATTAAACATTTGTTTACCATTTCTGAGTTTTGCACTCATGCTCATTATTTTATGTGAAGTTCGCCTGAAAGCGATTTTAAACAATATCAATTTCTTTTAATACAGACTAGCATTCTCATGATTTGCATATTTTTAGTGTTAATCTAGAGGAGTCTGAATTTATAACGATGGAGACGATCATGGAAGAAGATAAGGATGAAAATAATTACTGTAGTCCACCAAGAAGTCCATCATTTGATCACACTGGACATCATCATTTCCCAGGAGAAACTCCTACAAGAAGAACGAGTACATGCAGCATTGATGCAGATAATACCTCCCTGTCTAGACATAGGCTACCAGATTTTCCAGGATCCAGGTTTGTCAACATGATATTGGGTTCAAGCCGAGATCTATCGCACAGCATAGATTCCATGAAAGATGCGCACAACTCAGTCACTGCTCCTTTTATTTTAAAATCTCCATGTTTTCGTAGAAAATCTTGTACAGAACCTTCTCCACTAGCAGCTAATGAAGACAAGGTTATTCTTGATTTGCCTTTGTTGTCACAGTCTGAAGCAGAAAAGGTTTCTGACGAAGGGGAATCATTGATACCAAGTGAGCCACCAGTGGTTTTCCAAGATAAATCATCGGAATATTGTACGATCAAAATACCTGATTTATCTGTTGTTGAAGAAGAAAGCTCTTCAGGGAGTTCGAGAGGTCCATCTCCTGTCAATGATCCTATGCAGAGTTCGCCAATAAATGAAACTTGTGGCCAGAATTTCACATCATTTGAATCTAACTCTTCCCAGGAAAATCTTATAACTTCTTCTGATAGCCAAAGCACAAACAGCTATTCTGGTCTTCTAAAAAATGATGTTTAATTGCATACATGTTATGTTGATGTAATTAATATCTTTTGTTGTATTTATTATAATATAAGTTGGCTAACTTAAAAAAATTAGTTTTCTGATAGTTCAAGCAAATAGGTGTAAAGAAGGTACATCGTTTTCTTCGTATTATACCAATTCATTTTATGACGTAATTTAACAGTCTAGTTTACGAGACAAATTATTCTTCTTAATTGGATGGTTATTAATGTAATTAATCTGTTTAAATTTATTTATGATAAATTTTAATAGCCTACTTATTTTAATTTACATTAAATTAATGTAGTTTAAAAACATAACTAGAAGGCTGTTTTGAGTCCCCCCCCCAAGAGTGTTTCTATTGTCTATTGTGTAGCAAAATTTAGTTATGATTTAGTCCTTACCATCCGGTTTAAGAGCTACTTCTCTGCATTTTCCATTTCCTGCAACAGCTAAAATTCAAAATTCAATTTACTTATGTAATATGAATCGTGAATGTTATGGATAAGCATTCATTTTACGATTTGCAAAAGAAAATAAAAAATTTAAGATGGAAAATAATTTCTTCCATGACTCTATATAATTTTAATCTCTTTTATTATATACATGTTAAAAATTAGAATAAACAGGCAAACATATTAACTTTATTTGAACTGCATTATTTTAAGCCCTTGGGTATTTTAAATGCTATAGTTAATCGAGAAATTTTTCGAGTAATAATACGAGTATTAAGCTTTTCGTTATCATTAAAGTATTTTTAAAGTTTTGTTATTTGTAAGTTCATAGTTGTTATATTTGTTTATACTTCTTTATATCTAAAAGAGGAGATAGGTTTTGCTTTTATTTACTTAGTTTTTTTTGCTCTTATTTATGATATGTTATGTGCGCAATGCATTTAAGAATAGATCTGAACCTTTCTTGTTTTTTCGTATACTAGAGATATTGTTAAAAACTATGTTTTTAAAGGTGGTGGGTGTTTAAGTTATTAGTTAACAGGATTTTAAAAACCTGGTAACCTACTGTGTGTTTCCAGGCTAGATGAAAATGTTTAACTATGAGCTTTTTTGTATGAAATTTTATTTTTTTAACTGTGAGGATATTTTGAAAAATTATATTGTATGTGATCTTTTCTAATTAATATTTTATATATACTACTGTAATTTTTATTTTTTGTTTGCCTTTATCAAAAGTCACATTAGATATTGCATGTATATAAAGGCATAAATGTAAACTTTAAAATGTATTTTTGTATTATGCAGTATTACAAAATATTTTCGTAGCACTGTCATTTATACAGATTAGATTGTTCTAGATTTTAAAGCTTAAATTCGTCATTTCTAAACAGTCAGTTCAATTTACCAGTGAAAGCTTTTATCTAAATTTTTCAAGTTTGCATCCTATCCAGGATTTTTTATTTTCTAAATTCATAACTTATTAACTATTTACCAATATTTGAAAGGTTAGAATTTAATTTTATATACACTTGTATTATGCTTTCATTTATTGAAGAGAAAATCATTATTCATTGATTTTCTTCTCTTGTAACTATTTTACTAAACTTACCATTTTCTGCATGATGCATTCCATAATGTGTGTAATCTTCTAATTGTAAGAATATGTTAGTTTGTCACAGGAGCTGCTTGTTACTTCCCATGTCTGTTTTGTAATAAAAGTATTTGTCCTTCGTATAGTTGTGTTTTAATAAGCTTTTCAGAATTTTATTCCTTCTAGAGCTTTGCTATTTATTTAAGTGGCTGTTGTCTCTACATTCCTTCTACATGCTCATTATATAAACTAATCGTGTACTGACAGTTAACAGATACAAAATACGCATGATTTTATATGCTTATATTGTCTGTATGCACTGAAGTAGTACATATTAAAACAGTATGAAACGAAACTAGGATTACGATGAATTCTTGTGTGACTGTCTTACTAATGCTGTTAGGTTTCTTCCACTCGCATTAAAATCCTTGAAAATAAGAATACTTCAGAAAAGCATTTTGTGTAGAGAAATGTCATTTAATTTTTTCAGCCAAACAGGACATATGTGTACCGCAGCCACTGTTTTAGTTCCAGGAGGACAAATAAACCCAGTGTTACGTTATTACATGCTGGACTAACTTAACTAAATTATACCTATTTTAGTTGTTGCCTGTGCATAATTTCAGAATTATTGCATTTTATAAGAAACTGAAGACTATGCCTTTTTTTTAAATGTGGACATTTTCATTTATTGTCATAAATTTATTAAAATAAACAAAAAATATTAACTAACTATTGCGTATATATGTGACACATGGGTCTTGGGGAATGTTTTGAGCTATTTATATCCTACTAGTATTTTTGAGCATGAGCAAGAGAAAAAGTTGAGTTACTTCACTTTTACCTGCCAATTTTGAAAGAAAAGTCGGTTGTAGATAAATCTGTTTCTTCGGTAGCTGCATCTGAAAGGGAAGCCAGTTTTTCTGAAGGTGTCTTGCTTTTTCATAATACTCCAGAATCACCTCGATGTTTACAAATAAGCAGTATGTTTGTAAACAACATATAAAAGTTTATAAATAATGTTCCATAGTTTTCAAACTGTGAATTTTAACCAGAAGAGCAAATCTAAGCGTTTTTCCAAAATACCAGTTTCTTTTTCGTTAAGTAGATGTTCTAAATGCTGAAAAGAGAATTCATTCGGGATTAGCACTTTAAGAACGTTTCATCTTTATAGAATTGAGAAAGTTTTCCACATGAGTAACAAGAAAATATACATGCAATAGATCGCTTATCTTATGCTTTATTTAAAACACTAAATTTTATCTCAGTTCTATACGTAAAATACCCATGCGGGCGAGAATGTTTTTCACAAGAGTAATTTTTAAATGTGTTAACTGTTCTTAAAAGAAGGAAAACTAAACATATGTCTGGCATACCTACATTTTGTATTTACATTTTGTAATACTACATTTTGTATCTACTTTGAGACAGGCCATTAGTATACCACGTATCGTTCGTTGACTGGATGCAATTGCGACAGGCGCTCGATGGATATTACCACACATCAAGTGCTTGGAACAGCGAAGTTCGCCTGATGCGCGAGTACGATAGCTAGTGGATTCAATTTGGTTCCAAAAGGACTGTGTAATGGTAAGCGATAAGCGACGGAGGACGTGGGCTCTGTCCCTTTACTATTTGGGTTAATCAGTACAGCACCACGTCCACCTTTATCTTACATTTCGTATTACATTATATATTACGATAACATGATTTACACATTGCATTATATACTACATATCAAATTAATACCTTACTCTAACATTACATTAACTTCACATCAACTTATTTCATTAAAATTCTTTCCTAATAAACCCTGTATTGGTACATTATAAAAGGGTTATTTTGCACAGGATTCGCATTAGACACGGGATACGCATTATTTTATCATTATACACTGGGTACGCATTACATTATATACGGGGAAATTAATGATACATAGGAACATTATGCGGAATAGGGGGTTATAAGCACGATACGGGTTAAATTATTCACAGGAAATTAGTTATACACAGGTATTGCATTATACAGGATAAATTATACACATGGTAGGCTTTATACACTGGATGCATATTCAATTGTCATCTGGACCATGCCAATTGTACCCGTTAGTCGATACACTGCTTACATCGTTATGCATAATACTATTATAAAGTTTGCATTCACATTGTTTCAGTTGGGCTTTGCATTGTGTGTCATGTTGCTTATTAATCAGTACATACTACATTACATATTATGATACATATGACACTATTACATTACATATTACATTATATATTATGATACATATGACACTATTATGATTACATTATATATTACATTATATATATTATGATACATATGACACTATTACGATTACATTATATATTATGATGCATATGACACTATTGCAATTACATTACATATTGTATTATATATATTATGATACATATGACACTATTACGATTACATTACATATTACATTAGTTATTATGATACATATGGTAAGAGTAAAGAACAATTAAGGGTCTCAATTAAATTAATGGTAAGAGTAAAGAACTGCTTTAATCCCAGATTTGACACACCACATTACTTTTGAATTTAGCTGAAAAAGAGAGCCTACACATTGTTTACGCTCGATTAACGAATTGAAGATTTCCATGGGTCGTTGAAGTACATGCTGTTTTCACAGAATGTGTTGAGATGCGTCATTATCTGGAATTATCCAAGCAGAAGAAGGGCATTTGAGAGAACACCAATTTCAAGGATCACTGATGTTTGTAATATCTGTATTATGTACTGCATTAAATTCCTTTGTGTGCACTGTTATTTTACCATCAAAGTTATTACAAGAACTCACCGTCTTTCTGCTGTTAAAATTTGGTACGTACAATATGCATCACCCTAATTTTAAAAGCATGCTCATGTAATTATTAAATTTATAAAACAAATTGTTTTTTTTTTCATTAACTCACACAGATGTTATATTTTAAATAAAGTTGTCGAGGAACTTTGCTTAAAATGCAATATTGTTAATTTACAAAAATCTATTTAAAACTGATTTCTTTCATACCATCTCAAATTCCATTTTGTAGCCTAATTGTAATTTTGTAGCCATTTTGTAATCATAATAGTGTCATATGATTACAATCATTGCTTATCGAAAGTGTAGATTATCGTTCCGTGATATCGCCGGTCGAAGTGTTCAAATTACTGTCGATAGATACTAGAGGTGTGTGCCTAATGGCTGCCCAAACCATCACACCAGGTGCAGGGCCCCTATGCCGATATCGAATGCAATCAGGCGACGTGCGGTCTCCTCGGACACTCCAGCTACGTATACGGCCATCAGAATACTGCACGTAGAACCGGCACTCGTTTGATAAGCCGACATTGTGCCACTCCTGTTCCCAGCTTTGTCGTTTTGCCGCACTAGCGTCGCCATCTCTCTCTCTATGCTGCATTGTCAAGGGAAGCAGAATTCACCCTGCTGATAATTCCCGCTGCTGCAAACGTCGATGCACCTTAAGAGCTGATACTGGGCGTGCTGGAAACATTCCCATTTCCTGACTAATGGTCCGTGATGTGGTAGTACGGTTTTTCAGGGCTGACCTCACAATGTGTCTATCCTCTCTGGCGTTAGTAATGGGATGGCGTTGAGATCCTGAATGCCGTTCAATATGACCATCATCAACCCATTGATTCCATATTCACATGCTAGTGGTTAGATGTCGACCAGTTCTTTATTAGTAGTTCTTTATTATTATATAATATTGTGAGTACAAATCTTTGTTGAGAAACATGATGATGGGAGTCCAAATGTTACTGATTGTAGTTTAATATTAGAATATTACGCAGTTCCATGCATTTGAGATTATACTCACTTGTCTGTAAATAGAGTAAGATTCTTGAAGTAAGATGAAATTGGTGCTGTTTCCTGCACCAGTTTTCTTGTGCCTGGTTGAGGTTGCTGCTTGAGCATTTTGGATATTTATTTGCATTATTTTTATTAATACAGAGCAAGATATTTTGAGCATAATATATAATTTTCCTGTCCTGTTATGTACAAGAGAAGATTTACTTTGATTTTTTCTTTGGGGAACTGTAATAAGTTTTATTTCTTGTTAGTAGAGATTTATTCGGATTCTTCGTACTCTGTTCTTTCTCTGATTTTTTTTTTTTTTTTGAAGCTGTCTGGGATATGAGGGGCAATTTGGGGCATATGCTGCATGCTATATATTGATATTATAGGTATTAGGGTCCTTATAAAGTTTACAATCTGTGCATAGGTAGCTGTCTGTTTTGCAAACTTTGATATGATATGGGTCACTGCAAAAAGTACAGTATGGTATGTGTTTACAGTTTCTTGCTATATGTTCGAAGTACACGAGTACCTGTATTTGTGGCCAGCTGGGAACACCTGAACATTACCTTACTAACTGCCCACTCACTAAAGATTTTCACATTAAAATGCCAACAACAAATATTCAAGCTTTTGGTAAATTCTTAGTAAAACAAAAATACACAGTGCAAAAAATCACAAAAATAAAGGACATCCGAACAAAATTGGGCACAGATTTATATCAAGTAATATAATTTCATATAACAAGTTATAAAAAATAACATCAGTGCTCATAATTGGAAAAAGTGATTAATTTCTAGCAAAAAGTATCTATCATATATATTATATTTAAAATGTACATGCATTCAAATTACGATAAATAAATACTGACTTTTCGCGATTATGAAGGCATGACGCATTGGTAGTTAAATTGTCATAAAGATATTATCAGCTTGAAAATCAAGTTACAAGAAAGAATACCCATGTTGATTCGGTGTGATCAAAGACACATAGGATTCAGTGACATACAAAAGGAAGAGATGAAAAACTTTTGAAATAAAACTTACTATTCTGGAAGACATTAGCACACTATATAAGGTATAATATGAGGAATACAACAGAAACCTTGAAACTGAGAAACTCATGAAAGAACTGCAGCAAAATGAAAGGAATTTTGCAAGAGGACATAGACAACATTCTAGTTGAAATGGTACAAATAACAAAAGAGAAACTTCACGATAGCGAAATAGACTATTTAAAATAAAGAAAAATTACAAAAGAAAGACATTCATTAGAGAAAATTCTCCAATCAAAATTTATGTAATA